CAGGAACATGCAGGCATCAGACTGACTAAGCTGGAGGAAGAGTCAAGTCCAAAGGCCAGCGTCGGGAGTTGTCCCTGTGGCTAATGTTTGCTGCTGCAGTTTTGCATAAATCTGGCACAGCTGCAAACCACGCTGGCACACACAGGAGCATTGCTGCTGCTGCTGCTGGGGACGGTCTTCAGAAGCAGAACCGGGATGGTTGCAAAAGCACTGCCTCTTTCTTCCACTTAGAAGTAAGAATTAAAATAGTGGCTCCCGACTCCACTGCGCTGGGGCAGAGGGGAAGGGAGGTCCCAAACCTGCTGGTGTCCACTGCTGCGCCTTGCCAGCTGAGGCAGCGTTTCCCCACCTTTACCTTGCAGCCGGAAAAATCTGAGTGAAGGCGGGGAGAGAGGTGATCCTGTCCGAGCAGAGAGCAGCGGTAGTAACCCCAGCAGCAGGTTGGAGAGGCTGCTCTAGTGGCATTTGTGGGGATGTAAGGATGGGTACTTTGTACTGGGGTACAAAGGATGGGGGGAACAAGCACTGTCCTATAAGTGGGGCTTACGCTGGGGGTTGTGTTTGTGTGTCCAAAGGTGCTATAAAATGAAGGTGAGAGGCAGCAGTATCTCTTGTACTCTGTTTATTTTTCATGTGGAGCTTGGCTGATAAATAGGACTGAATTAAAGCAACACTCATGAAAAATAAAACCCAACCATGACTCAGAAGTGCAAAATTGCCCTCTACGTGTCCAGAGACAATGAGGTTCTGGTTTGCTGGAGACAGCACATGGATTTTGGTGTCTGCACCAGCAGGGCAAAGGCTTCAGCTTATTGATATCCTAACTGCGAAAGGACGTCTGGTACAGTATATGGCTTTGTTGCTGGGTAGCCACCTGCGACTCTGAGAAACAGCTTCTGTTAAGAAGAGGTCACTGGTGAGTCTTTCTCCAGTTCCTGTTTACAAGTCGTGGTGCTGTCTTCCACTCAAACCACTGAACAAAGGCCGCTGAACAGTAAGCGCTATGAAATTAAAACAAAACCAACAGACGGTAAAAGCCAGGAACAACAAAAACCTGCCCACCTCCATTGCATTTGGACATGGCTCGTCATATGAACAGCACCAGTAGAGAGCAGACGGTTCCCGTGGTGGAGGAGTGGTTTGTGATGGGAAGACTTACGACTTGCAAAGGACCCGAAAAACTAACAAGTGCATCCCAGGTATGAAATTACAGTAACAGGTTGCCTAAGGCTGAGAAAGGTCTTAATTGCATCGTCCCATCGGGTGCACAGCTGGCAGCAGCTGAACTCGCTGTGGCTCTCCCCTTGCACTTTCTAGCGAAAGCAGTAGTTCACCCTGTTCCCCGCTCGTCTCTTTTTGCAGCTCTGTGAAGAAGGAACTAGCTGACTCCAGAGGACAAAGCATGCCAAGAGATATTATGTACTTAGTCTTGTGGTAGTCAGAGAAGTGTCCGGCGAAGTGTTCCCAAAGAAAAATTGGTGACCCAATGGTGGGGGAGGGATGGAAGCTGTAGGGAATGAACAGAGCGCGGGGCTAATTTGGTGCCTGGTGCAAGGGTCTGTAATTTACCTGCCTGGAAGAGTATCTGGAAGGGAAGGAGCGAAAGGAGTTTACCTACTAGGTCACTCGGCGAGGTAAGGATGGTAGCCTGGGGGGGCTGCTGCCAGCAGGTACTACCACCCCGTGTGTTCAAGCACTCGGGCGTTCTTGTTCCTTCACAGTTTTTTATTCCAAGACCCACTCAGAGCCCTCCCTCTCCCAGCGTTTCCTGTGCTGCCCGCGCTGGGAACCAGCGAAGTGCTGACTGGTGGTGCCCACAGCAGGCTGTGTGTCCTGATGGGTTTGCAACTCCAGGGAGCAGTGGCACAGTGGCGATTTTGCTGCTGCGACCCCCTGTCCAGGCTGCTCGGGGTCTGTGCCCGGCAGGCTGCCGGTGGGACAGGCAGGCGGCAGCGTCCTTTACCTTGCTGGCCTGGCACCAAAGCTGGTGCTGGGCTGGTGAGCCTCGAACGTGCCCGTGCACTGAGGCAGGCTTCGCCAGGCAAGCCTGGGAGCAAAATCGCATCGTTGCTTCGCAGCCCTTCCACAGTGATGTGGGCTGGGTGTTTTCCTGCGGCTTTCTGAGCTGTTGGGCAGGGCAGCTTTGGGGGCTGGGGGCCCCCCATGCTCAGAAATCCTGCAAGTCTGCAGCCACCTCACCAGGTACCAGCTGTGGGACTGAACGGTGGAGCCGGACGTCAGGCAGGTCTGGCTTTGCCAAGCTGGAAGGAGATCAGCTAGTGCATCGAGAGGAGGGGAAAGCTTCGCTCATGCTACCCTTTCTGTCGTTCTGCTTGGGGCTGTACGGGTGTCATGGGCGGAGAAAGGAAATCCCCACGCTTAATCCTGTTTAAAAGGTTTCCATTGTTTTCTCCAACTTCTTCTCCACGTTAGGGTAGAGGAATGGCCTCGGGACCCCTGCAGGGACAGGGTGTCTGTGAATGCATCTTGTTTAGAGTTTGATGAGAAATTTGTTTAACCGGCTGAGCAGCATGTGAGGACAGCAGCACTGTTGTGCTCGTCGTTTGGTGATACGTAGCAGGGAGCAGCAGGGTTTCCTAGGAGGCCACGTCCCAGGGTCTTGGGATCCCACATGTGTTTTTTAGAATTCACCAGTAAAAATCACCAACGTCTTCACACTATCTATTTCCTACAACAACACATTCCAGCTAGGGCTGTCTTTTCATTTACTTTCTTGCCTCCAAAGTGCAAAACCAGGGAGCCAAACAGAAGTTATCAGGTAGCTGTTCAGGCACTAGAAACACGGAGAGCGATTTGATAAAGCAAATGCAGCCTGACTCTTTACATACAGCCCGTACGGAGGCTTGGTCAACAAGCAGCATTCAATAGCTTGAATATATTAAATGGATTTCCACCAACTCAGCTGGAGAGCTCTCCATTTCACTGGCATGGTTTGGGGTCTGGGGCAGATTTCATTCAAAAAGAAAAAAAGTAACATTTTATTTCCTGTTTCTGAATGTGTTTGCTGCAGCGATGCCATTGCTTCACGTGCCAGAAGAGCTCAAGGTTAGCAGGGACCGGTATGACTGCATATTCTCCATCCACGGGCCGCAGCCGTCGCGTGCCTGTGTGCCGGGTCCGGATCGGGAGCCGGCAGGGCTCTTCCCGCCAGCCCCCCTCGGTGCAGAGTTCCCTGCCGGCCTGGCCTGGCCGCAGCAGCTGTAAGCAGCAACACATGGACCGAAACTTGGACAAAGGTGTATGTTTTTCTGCCAGTCCCCGGTACCGTGTCTGGCAAGCACTGCTGGCCGGGCCTCCAGGCACCGCGAGGGAGTGGGGATGGGATAAGCTCTTCCTGAGATCTCACTTGCTGTGCTCCGGTCCGTTTTCAGCGTCTTCTCCCAGAGCACGTTCCCTGCTGTCAGAGATACCCCAGATGTTCCTCACGCTTCTCCCCATCCAGCGGTTGAGTTCATAGCTTGTTCTTCTGTCTCATGGTTAAAAAAATATATCTTTATTTTACTTTTCATCCTCGTCTCCCTCGCTCATGCTGCTGAGGGAGGCAGAGGCAGCTTTTGGAGAAGAGGGAGGGGAGGCTTTATTGAAGACCCAGGGCGGAGATGGAGAACGGGATGGAGAACGGCCTCGCGTAGGACTGCTGTTCGGGCTCTGCCGGGGAGAAAAAGCCTGGAGCATCCGGCCGCTTCGTTCCTGGAACATCTGCTTCTGCAAAAGCAAAGTGAAAAGATGCTTTCTGAGTAATGCACAGAGGGGAAGGTATGTCTGTGGGCAGGCAGGGGCTGCGCTGCACTGTGCCTCTCCCCTGGGAGAGAGCAGGGGGACAGGATAGACTTCAGCTCTGAAGCATGGCCGGTTCAGCCCACCCTTAGCCTTTGCCTCTTCTACTGTGCTCGTAATAACCCGTTTTTTGCACGACAAGGTTTTTTCTTAGGTCGGACACCGCTAGTGTGAGAATACTGTGTGCATTGTCCTAAGCCAGCGAGGGGGAACTCCCTTCGGATTTTTTGTAGGTGTTGGTCGCACTCTGTCTCAAGGAGTCAGTTTTCTGCCTGAACGCCCACAGTTCCTTGTTCCTAGGAGCTTTTCCTTTTAGCGTGCTGGGACGGACCTCCCGTCTCCCGCTGAGCTTCCTGGCTAGCCCAGCCTTTTTTCCTCCTTCCCTTCTCAAGGGAGGCAGCCCGGTGCCTGCCAAATACTGGCAGCCACTTCCCCAGCTACCTGGAGCAGGCACCACCCAAACCCTTGAATTGGGGGGGGTGGGAATGTCAGAATTCAGGTGTCTTTGTTGAAAAGAGAAACACATGCAGGCTTGACGTTCTGCTTTGGGCTTTATTGTCATTTTTGCTTTGTAAAGCTGAGTGGAGGCCTGCCAGAGCTGGTAGGGTGGAAGAGACCACCTTTTCAGTCTAGCGATCTGCTACGCTAAGGCAAATGCCGCTACTTGTTAGTGCCTACGTGGCCTTGCGTTAGGCTGCCAGGCTGGGTTACAGGAGATCTAGCGCCTACTGCGTGGCTGCTGCAGGCTTCATGTGGAAAATGCCAAATGCGAGCGCCTCGCTGCTCCTCCTGGGGACGGGGAACAAGAAGTCTCAACCTTGGCTGGAGTACTGGGAGTCGGATCGCAGGCGATGCTCGGCTGGAATGGAAGAGCCAGCCCGGACAAAGTTAAGTCGCTGCTTAGGTCTGAGAGCAAAATACTGCTGCAGAATGTATTCTGGGTTTGCCTGCTTGGGCAGCTGCAGTCCACAGACTTTCTCAGCTTGAATTTTTGTTTTGTTCCTCCTCCCCCCTGCAGCAACTGCTCTGTGATGACCTTCCTCCCAGCCAAGGAGCATGTGGCTGCCCGTCTTGCTTTTCCTCCCCCTCTTTGAAACTCGGTATTCCCACCAGCAGAGGCACAAATGCTAGGTTTTCCCATCAGGTTTCTGGTGTTTGCTAATCCCGGGGGTTAATGATTGAGCACAAATACCAAGCTTAACTGTTCCTCTGTGAGCTCCCTCACCCAATTTATATCTTTATCGCATGGGCCTTTATTACCTTAGTTTTAGAGCCTGGATGTCGCTGCAGTGCAGAGTGACAGAACAGTTCCTGCCTGGAGCCACACTTAGCCATGCTCTCACGCATAAAGACCCACGGCGTGTAACCTACCCCTGCACGACTGCTAGGTCCAAAATAGTCAAGACTTCCTAAAATCTCGATAGTTAGCAGATGGTGGTTGCTCCTGATAAATGGTGCCAGGAAGCATTCGGGTGGGGAGGGTTTCTGCTGCTGAGAGCTGTGAGGATGTCACCAGGGCTGGCAAAGCCCCAGTGCCTGTTGAAATTCAGTGGTAGGAGTGCAAAATTTCTCTTTAGATCACAGAAATTGAGTTTGCTGGCTTGACTTAGTCTGTTTCATCCTCTCACTGAAGATAACCCCCAACAAAAAAATGATGTTTCATATGAAATATCTTTTTCCTGGGCAAGCAAAACAGTTTGACTCCCTCCCGCCCCTGGCGCCTTACCAGCCACTTCAAAAAGCTCAGTGACGTTGCAGTGGTTCATGGTGTTGTGGTACCGGTGCTGGGGGAGATCAGTGTCCCCGCTTGGCAGGTATCCCACACGGCAGGGGGTACTTGACTGTGCCTTGGGCCACGCGGGCCAGGGATGGAAAGGAGAACCCCACCTTCCTGCTAATGCTCTCAGCCAGGCTGTAGGACACCTGCTGCCCGGTCCCTGCTTCAGCAAAGAGTGTTGCTTGAACAAGCTGGCGCGCTCACGCCTTCGGCAGGGGGAGTGCCCAGCCAGTCTGAATTGCCTCCTGTGTTAGTGCTTTAGCCACCAGGTTGCTGGCTAAAACCACAACTGCTGCAGGAGGAGGTGGTGGTGTAATTCACCTGCCTCCAGAATGACTCTTCGCCTCCAGCTGTGCTCTAGCAGGGGCAGTAAGTCATGCCCTTCGCAGGCAAGGTCTTCCTAATGGGGCGGGGGGGGGGGGGGGGGGGGGGGGCTTCTTGGGCCCTTGGGTGCTGAAGAAGTAGCACAAGTGTTAATGGCTCCCTTGAAGTGCAGGAGGGATAGACAAGGCTGGGTGCGCTCTGGACCTTTTCCAGAGCTGGGAAAATAATTTCCAAGCCTTGGTTCAAGCGAGTTCAGGTACACCCAACCAGCTCAGGGAGAGAACGCTTTGCTTTTGGCAAACCTGCTACTGGGCAAAAATATTATGCCTATTTCTGAATTTTATTGCCTATGTGTTGATACTTCTTTGCTTTACAAAACAAGTGCCAGTTGGGTGTTATGGAGGACTGCTGCTTTTGAGCTGCTGAGTCTTTCAAGGCCGTGCTCAGGTCCAGGCTGCGGACGCATGGCGTGGCCTAAACGCCGGCCCTGGGTTCCAGTCGCAACCTGTAAGATTCCTCTGAGCCCCCGCAGACATCTGATGTGATGCAGCCACTTCCTGGCGCGGCCATCCCCAACTCCCTCCGTGCGCTGAATAGAGGGAAACGGGCCCTTTGGAGGGACACCTCATCTCCTCCGAGAGGGAGGTTAGCGTGGAAACCCTGCCCTGTGAGGCTTGCTTTCTCTCCGCTGAGCTGAAGCGCGGCTGCCTGTTCGTACGTGTCTGAGAGAAGGTGGAACGAACTCTGCCGCTTTCCGCTTCCGTGGAGCGGCGTCTGCCATTAGGGCCTCCGTGCCGGGCCGCGCGGTGGTCCTCTCTCAAGCCGGGACAAAAGTTTCATGCCATGTTAATCAGTGTTTCTGACCCCTCTGTGACTCTCTCGCATTAAAAATACATACAGGGGATTGCACAGGTGGGCAAAATTGCCAATGAATTATAGACAACTTGACGTTTCAAAACTGACATTTTGACCTTTTCAGAAACCGATATTTTTTGTGGGTTATGTGGCCCTTACTTCTAGAAAATTGATGCTAGCATAAAATGTATTATAATAATTATTTGTGAAATAATAATAGCATATTAATGGCATGCAAATTACCCATCTAGGAATCTAGCGTGCCCATAACGATTCCTGTACTTTCACTGTCAACATTAAAAGCAACATCTAACTAACGGTGATAAGGCAAATTAATGCTAATAACAGTTTTGACACTAATAGCAAGTTATCATTATTTTAAAAGTCTCTCCTGTTGCAAGGCTCAAACTGATTTTTAAAAAAGCCACAAGAGCTCTCAGCGTGCTGTCACTGACGCTTTTCCTACAACACTGCAAGGAGATTTCTCTCTTGTTTTTAGCAAAGGTCTCTGTGGTTGCACCAGGTTTCCTACTCTGTGGTTGGGACACTAATTCAGTAAACAGGAGGAGACCACCACCACCACCCCACCCCCCCCCAAAGACCTTTGCAGAGCAGCTTTTCTCTAATCGAATTTGGTAAAACGTTTTATCAGCAAAGGGGTTTTAAAAATGCCATCAGTGTACAGTGTTGCGTGGGTAGAGACAGGGAATGGGATCAAGGCTTTGACATTCTTTTCCCCTCTCTGCACAGCCAAACTCATCTCACCTCCTGTGGGTTTCACGTGCCCCGTTAGCATTAGTTTTATTTATTCAGCACCTGTGGCCACAGGACCATCCCACATGGGGAACACTCGCCAAGCTCTATGGAGAATAACTTACAGAGGAAGCACTCTTCGTGTGGATGTGGTCAATGCAGGTAAACCTGGGCTTTTCACCAGAAGAGTTCACCCTCTTCCCCTCCCCAAGGAAGATGATACTGTCAATGAACAAATTGCTAAATAAGCTATTTGTTTTTATGGCTGGGACCGGTGTTATTTAGAGAGCACCTGCCTTTGCATGGGATAGACATAGCTGTAAGGAGATTATAAAGATGCAGTCTCTGTTCTGAAGCCTTCACAGCCTAATTTTAGGCTTTTCTCAACTGAGTGGTAATCACCGCAGCGAGTCGTGGCAGAGAAAAGATGAGAACTCCAGTAAGAGGCAGGTACTATGTGCTTTGGTGGCACGGAGTTGTGACGCGGCTCTGATGTGGGCTACTTAATTCACCAGGGGTCTGTGAATCTTCTTGAGGGTTTGTTTATAAACAAAAACTCTGCTAAGATCCTTTCAACAGAAGGTACCTTTTGTGATGGGAAGTTGTTCAGGTATGAACTGATAAGTGATGTGAGAGAACATTGTGTGTGTTGGCTCTTTAAAAATATTCCAGTAGTATCTGCTCCATGCTAGTCCTAAACTGTTTTTTCTGGCTTGCTGCCTCTATTGATACTTTGCCTCAAACTGTAATCCATCAGCTGTTAAAGCTTTGCACAAGCCTCTTGCAAAGGGTTTGCTTTCAAGCAAGGAGGGAGCTGCCTGACTGTCTGCGCGCCACGGTCTGAAAACGTACCTCTGCAGCATCCTGCTGTTCTGCAGGATTACTTCTCTAGCTCTTACTCCGCTCCCCTCAGTTCACCCTGCCCTGCTTGCTGCTCTCCTCCGTGCTTGCTCACGTTTCCTCAGGCTGAGCAAAAGCTTCACTTGGAGCTTGCAACTAGAGCAGCACGTCCGAGATGACGCCTGTACTGAAGGGCTTGGCCGGGGCCTGGGCTTTCACCAGAACACAGCTGCGCAGAGAGCTTGTTGGAAAAGGACTGACTCCCAACGGGAAGGTCTGTTCAAGCAAATGGTAACTTTTACATTCAAAATAAGCTTTGCTGTTGGTTTCAAGTAGCCAAGGGAAGTAGTACAAGAAAACAAAGTTTCTCAAGGTTTGGCAAGCTATCAGAACTGAAAGATGGCGGCCAGGACTCAGCTGGGGCTCTGAAGTGTCACTAACTCACCACCCACTCAGTGCATGACTTCGGTTTGAGCAGGTAAGGCCGCGGGGTTTCTCCCCGGAGGGATGCTGTTAGGGACTCTCAGCTGCCTTTCCACGGCACCTGGGGACCTTTGGTAAATGGGCTCTGTGGAGCCAGCATGTACTGAGGAGAGGTTCGAAAGTGCTGCAGTTCCACCTGAGCCTTCCCTGCAGTCAGTCAGATGAGCCTGGCCCCCCGCCATGTAAAATCATTTCTTGGAACTTTAAATCAGTAGTTTTTAAAGGTAGAAAATGGTCATCTTCTTCCGCTGAGTACAGCGCATGAAAAGAACTACTGAAAAACTTTCCGGTGTCCCTGTTTCCCTCACCACCTCCAGTGTATAGTTTCTCCCTGATGTCTGTGTGGTCCCATTTAGCGCTAATGGGGGGAATAGACTGTATTAGCCTGTTTGCTCCTGTGTTGCTGTTACGCAGCTCTACTGACTGCAGTGTCACATTCAGCATCACACCTTCACAAGGGACAGAAATTATCCCAAAGAAGCAACAGCCACAAGTGACAAGTCCTCCCGCTGCAGTATTGGCATGCGTTATTGGATTCAGCAAGCAGGTTTGGCATTATCCTACTGTGCTGGCTTTCAAAACAAAGACTGCAGCAAAAGAATCTGCTCTTGATCTGCGTTACAGAAGATAAATAAAAACCACTCAGACTTCCTGGGATGGCAGAATACCTACCCAGGCTCCGTCGGGTCCAAACAGCTCTAAAAAGTTGCCAATAAATTCCCTGGACTTTTCTTCCCATTTCTGAATGAGGTCATGGCTCTTCTCTTCCACCTTGTAAACAAATTCTTTTGATCTTTCCTCCACGTTCTTGACTTTTTCTTTCATTTTGTCCACTTGGTTTTGAAATCGGTATTTCTTCTCCTGTTTTAAAAGTGTGGACAGAGATTAATATATAGGGACTTGGAAATAATTAGCCACTGACAGTTGAGAAGACGAAAAAAAATTGCATTAATGTATCGTAATACATATGGCCTTGGTTAACTATTCCCACATTATTTTTATACATGCAAATTTAACATTTGTGGAATGAAGAGCAGAAGGTACATATTGAAAAGACCGTCTTGTGTGATTACTGTGTTTAATTCACTACACGAATCTTTCCATATTTTCAAACTGAATGCACTTTGAAAATTATATGAATCTTGTGAAGGATACCAGTGAGAAATTAACAGCTCAAACTTAAGCAAAAGGCAAATCTCCCTGGGTTTCCTAGCAAACGCAGCCCACTGCTGACTTGCCAGCCTGGATGGTAACTTGGACCAAAATGTCTCTTTGGTTGGATTTCTGCAGTGCAGAAGGAAAACTCTCTTCACCTCCAAGCCTGGCTAATACAGGAGCTTCTGGCTGCAACAGAAAGACGTGTGTAGGCCAGCGGCTTGTGGCCAGCAGACTTGATAGAAAAGAGAGCAAACTCCTAATTGCCAAGGCACACAGAAAAAGAGAGGGACGGAGAAGATAATGTTAGGGGGCTAACGTCAGGCCAAGCTTCTAAAATACTTCAGGGTTAAAGAACTTTTGTCCCGAAATGCTCCTGTGCCCCTCAAACGTACAGGGGCCACAGCAAACGAACGCTGTGCCCTTGAAGGTGTAATGGTCTCTGTAGAAGCACAGATTGCTATCAGCTTTTAATTTCCTGTGAACTTCATTTAATGGGCACCTGAATTTACTTTTAAAACAAATACTGTTTAGTGCTGAGGTGGGTTTTATTCTAGTTTGTGAAACACTAGAAGAACTGTCTTTGCAGGCCACAAGGCCAAACAAAATCCTCAAGTTCCAAAGAAACCCAACTCACTTGGCACTTAATAGGTGACCAAGCCTTTCTTTAACGAGGAAACCAGCACTTTTCTGTCTTGGTGAAATCCTGGGGTTTTTTTGCATTTTGAAACACAAACAGCCTCTGGTGCAAGTTAGTATTTCTGCATTTAAATTACTATGAGCTAATAACCAAATGCCAGGAGAGACTTCAGGATATATCAGTGTCTGAGACTGGGGAGAAGCATACCTTATGCAACAGTATCTTAACCTCAGAGCTACTAAAGGTTAAATTTGAGAGCCCCCAAGGCATCCAGCATGCCTTAATTTAATGGATACTCGTAATAGTGATACTTCTGGGTGGAGTACTTACAAGCAGGATTTTCTGGAGGTGTAGAGGACTGAAAAAAAAGCACCGTGAAATAAATATTTATGCCCTGTGATCTGCGATTTATCTGCCAGACTTCAAAATAAGAAACAAGTAAACAAACCCTCATGAAATGACACAATTCAGTCCTTCACAAGGGGGTTTCCCAGCTCCAGGGAAGGAGGTGGGAAGTCCTGCTGTGAGCCAGCCCAATCACAAGGAAGATTTCAGTTCTGTGGGTTATCTCCAGGCCTTAAGACTTGAAACAGAAAATGAAGGAAAGTAAACTTTCATTTCTGTTAAGTGTTTACTCCTCACTGGAGGGTAAGGTGCAGTTCTGTACGTGGAAGCTGAATAATTTGAGCCACCGTTTCAAATGGTGCTCTTGCCCTACCTATTGTGGCTTCTGATCAGCATCATTTACCAGCTTCCTAACACGCTTCCTCGTCTTTTAAAAACCGTTTTAGCTTCCTCTAGTAATCTCACCATTCAGCAGTTGGTTGTTTTTTTTTTTTTTTTTATCCTGTCGCATTGTAGAGAAAGTTTGGATATCAAAATCTTTGCTCTCTGTGCTGGCTTCTCACAATGGGGATAAAGAAAGAAATCGTGTCTTGGGTGAATGTCTGAGAAGCCTGCAGTGGGGGGGTGGGCTCCTCCCTAGTGTGTCATTGTCACCTACAGCCCAAGGAGGAAGGGGGAGCAGCAGCTTTGTCACAAACCTGAAAGCATAAGATGGAAATGAAGCTGCTAATTAATAGGAGCAATTAAAACTACCCCCAGCTTACCAGTTTCTTTTAAATTAAGTTCTTCCCAGCTATTTTAAAAGCAGCATGAGGAAGATATGCTTTCTTAACGTTTACTCTATATTCGGTGTCCTAGGAGTGTTTCAGAAGCAAATGCAGGTCGGTGTACTTACATTTATAAAACTAACATTCAGCTCTTTGGCGGTGTATCCTCGTTGGAGGTTGCGCCGGGCGTACACGTCATAGTCCCGGACGATCCTTGTGATGATATCCGATGTTGAGATACCTTCGGTTCTCTGCGTTGGCACGAACATTCCTGAGCAAAGTGGGAAAAGAAAGCCTGCTGAGAAAGCACGGCAGGACCAGGCACTGTGGCAGGTAGCTGAGGGTGAACACAAAAATGCCTGACCCAAGGCAAGAGACTCGCAATTCCACCTGTCTTATTCCTAGTTCTTTCCCGTTGCTCCTGTGTGAGCTTAGGGAAGGCACTTGGTTGCTAAACCGTTCATTTCTCCTCAGGTCTTCAGAAAGGCTAAAACTTGGCCTCTTCACAGTGTCAGCTGTGATGTGGAAGTTATTAGACTGGCAGGGGCTCCCGAGCCAGGAAGACTAAACCTCGCGGTTGTGACAATTCGCTGAGCAGTTCTTTCTACAAGCGTAGCCCTCATTTAATGTTATATAAAGGAGCAGGAGGTTGGCTTCCACTCCCACTATTGAAAGGCCATTTGCTGCTCTCCTGAGTATTTCCACTCTCCCCTCCGCTCCTGTGCTGCACCGTCTGGCAGCCTTTGTTCTGCTGAGTAAAAGAGACCAGCTTCTGGCCTTGGCCAAAGCCGGGAAGCGCCTTCAGGTAAAAGATGCGTTACGGTAACTGGACAACACCCTGGAGGTGCCGGTAGCTTGTAACAGGAAGATGAAGCGTAATGGTGGTGTGAACAAACACAGATACAGCGTGGGGACTGAGGGTCTCAGTCTCTATAGCCCCCATTTCATGTCCACCTGGCCGTGTCAGTGGCTGCATAACCACTCTCCCTGCTCCGACAGATCCGTCCCTAATAAAACTGGCCATTTATTAATACTGCTTGTATCTTCCTCAACACACCTGAGGAATATATCGCTTTTTAATTGCTCCTTATCAAGACAGGATCACTTGAACTGTTAAAGCAAGCCACGGAGGCAATAATAGCAGAGTGCTAGCACACCTTGGTTTAGTAGTTAGATAGGGCTACAAAAAATTATTACTATCACTTACATGTAATTGCAACATCAAGCTGCTGATGAGAGCAAGCTGTAAGGTAAGACTGGAAATGGTTTTGCAAAACAAAGTAGTGCTTTGTCTTAAAAGGGTGGTACGGCTACTGGCAAATTAATCCTCACACATTCACTTGAAGTAGGCAGGCATTGCTAGCTAATTTCACAGGGTTAGAAAAAGATTTGGAGACAGAATCAAGAAGCTTAGCAGCCTCTTGTGACTAAATGCTATGTGATATTTTTTCTTTTTGATCTCTAAGTAATACTCTGCTAAAAAAATAGATTATTTTAATCACGAGCAGAGAGGTTTTCCTGATCGTGCTTTCCAGGCTTGCAGCAGTCACTAAGGAAACTATTTTTGGAAGCAGTGAAAACCACTTTGAGCCAGGAGCCTTTATAGATAGGAGCTACAAGAATATATGAACAAATCCAAACCCTACCCTTGCTAAGCCAAAAGTGGAATTGTTTTCAAGTAGCTGCACAAACCCATGTATGAGAACATTACCTTTAGTCACTGATTTTGCTTTCCTATGCTTCATGCGTTGGACTGACTCACGTTTTCCAAACTAATTGTTCACAGATGTGCAGAGGTTTAGTTAGTGCACTGTCACCCAGCTCACCATTGTCCATATGCTCTCCCACCCACTGAAGGGAGTGGGGAAATGGGAGCCCATGGGAATCTACACAAAGAGCTCCGCAGTTCCCATCGCTTCTCTGCTCCCCAACAGCCTGATGTGGGAAAATGGGAGTACTGGAACTAAGGAAAATGCGCAAGTGCATCCACAGCATTGGTCTATTTAAAACAAAACACCCTAGGAGAAAGGGGAAATTCACTGTTGTAATAATGCTGTTCTGGAGCGTTGGGACTATTACAGCACTAGATCTCAAAACTTTTCACAAATAAAGTAACATTATTCCCAGTTTATATGTAACAAAATTCAGCCATACAGACTGAAGTTGCTTCTCCAGCATCTTGCAGTGACGGTCACGGGACAGACCGTAAGTCCCTGAAGCTGTAAGTCCACACTCTATTCTGCAAACAAAGTTTGAATTTCTCATCAGGATGTGTGCACATGGCACCCGTGCCCAACGACAGCACAGGATGGGCCAGGTTTGGGCAGGCTCCAGCTCAGTCTGGTAACGATACAGTGACACCAAGGGCTCCTGTCATGTTGTCCCGTGCACTCAGCACCTTATAGAAGAAAGGCAACATAGCTGCCTGGCCAGCGCGTATGCTGTATGTCCCCTGGTGACCTGTCCTTACCAGAGGTCCCTTTGTTCCATTGCCTAGTGAAATACGCTGGTGCTGGCTCTGAAACAGCAGTTCCCAAAGCAAGGTTGTGAGTCTGACACCACAGTGAGGTTTGCAAGTGGAAAAAGATCAAGACCTGCTGCTATAAAAAGTTTATTCTTTCAGCTCAGGTCAATACCTGGTCTACTGCTGTCATTGTATGGCTTGAGAAGGACACTTTGCATGACAAATTACCATCAGGCAGATTTGCTCTGGAATTTTTTTGAGCCTCCCATATACACATTTATGTAGACCAGGAAGAGGATGGATTCGCTAGTGTTCAGAGCAGCACCTCCAGGGAGCAGGAGAATGAAAGGTATGATCAGTTCCTCCTCCCGCACCATTCATTGTGTTAGAGCAAGCTGCTGCTGGCAAACTGTGGCTTAATATTGTCTCCTCAGATTTAATTCGGCTTCCTTGAACTGAAGAGATAGAAACCCCTCATGACTTCAGCATGGTCATGTTCAATGTTATATGGTAGTCAACCAAACTGCTAAATAGTCATTGCAAATTAATCACTCTGGTACTAATTTAAACTTTCTGCCAGCGTAGTAAAAAGAACCCTCAGTGCAAATCAGAAGTGGATCCTAATGACTCCTGAAGGCTGCCTGTGCTTGCTCGTTTTCAGGACTGGGCTGTGTCAAGGAGTCATCAATTTGCGGTCATCAACAAACCACTGAAGTTGGCTGGGCTGCTGTGGGAACTGAACTCATTTTCATTGGTTCAGAGCTCTTAGTTGTGCACTCTGAAATTGTTTAAAAAAACCCAGATGGGACTCTTCCGTGACAGATTTGAATGGTTTGCTGGGGGTTATGGCAGGAATTCAGCCAAGGACATCCTTTGTGGTTTTACAAAGTGAACCTGTCTGCTGAAGTCAGCAGTACCTACCATTAGGGTGTAAGAGAACGTGATATTATCTCTACTGCTTCTCTCCCCGCAGTTGTGGTCAAAAGGCAGTAGAAGAATTTGGGCTGAAGCTGAAAAGGAAGGTGCCAAAAATGTAAGGTTGCCCTTACCTGCCTCCTTTATGTGTTTGTATACATCATCCGAGCCAGCGGAGGAGTACGGGATGTCATCGTGGGCTACAAAGTCAATCTGCCAGTGAACAGAAGAAGAATCACATGCCACCATCACTGAATTTTGATTCAGTGGGGGCTCGTTGCGGAGGATCATCTCTTTTCTCGACTTCAGCTGACTCGCTTTTGACATTCTCATCCTAAAGCCATCACCTAGAATATTGCACTAGATTTAGGCCTATAACTGCTGTGTTGTATGATCAATTACGAAAGAACAGAAAGCTTGTCTCCAGAAGCACTGCCATTAACACATCGCTCTGGCTGGCTCTGCGTGATATTCTGTACAAATCCTAAGACACCTGTTCCTGCTTTTATTGCTACTGGAAGAGCTAAGTCAAGTGGCAAAGCCTTGGCTTTCAAAACTACGGAGGCGGGATTATTGATTCTGCCTCCTTAGGGCTGTGCGTATATACATGTATACCTAGTACTGTCATGCTGTCCATTTGTCACCCAGTGATGTGGACACTAAAATACATCCTCGTTAATTATGCTTTTGTTAAGATTTATATACATTGCAAGACAGTCAATAGCATGTAAGAAATTCTATCCTGCCTTTCAGAGGACACATGACATTTTTACGTATTTCTGGCCAATTATTGCACCTGTTGACATTAATAAGAAACGTGCCTTTAATTCAGGACTTTAACAGGACTTTAGTCACTATACAATAACTTTTCTGGTTCATGATCTCCTTTCCTGAAAGTCAATTTGTGAATAATTCTTCAGTGTTATTTTGCCATTTAAAAATCCCACAACAGAAATCACCTCAGCATCCTGAGAAAAAAAGGCAAGACAAACATAACATTTTCTGACAAAGATGGAGGCAAGCAATGCCACGTACCTAATTTCAGGGACTGGAATTAACTGAATTAAATAATTTGCTCCAGCTAATAGAATTTCACAGGCTTGCTGTTTATTCTCAACTGTCAGTCTACAAAGGGGAAGGGAGGGATAAGGGGAGAAATGTACCTTATGTTTTTCAAGGAACTCGGGTGTCAGTGTCCAGGGTGCGTCTCTGATGACCTCATCCACATAACGACAGTGTCTGAGGGCTTCGTATCGCTCAGTTTCATTCATCACAGTGAAGCCTTTGAATTTATGAGTTAAATCATCACTGCAAACTAAAATATGGAAGTATCAACAAAATGGCTCCACACTCAGTAGAATTAGCTTGACCAGCAGTTAATTATTTCCTGATAATTCCATTAAGCACTTGGTTATTAGCTTAGCTAATTTTGGGGTGCTCCAGGGCATCTAAGAGTTCTGCTCAGGGTTGGCAGGTACAACCGTGGACTTCTGAGAGATCCTTCACTTTCTGGAGCTGCAGCCAGAGCCCAATGAGATATTGTAGGACATCTCAAACAGTACTGTATGCACATGTTGAGGTAACTCAATCCCACTATATTTCACGGGCTGTGAAATTTCAGGCGTGATGGACAATGCTTTCAAAACAATCAAAAAGTGCAGCATCAGCAATAACAGAGTGCTCGCAAATGTCACGTAGCACAAAATGGTCGAGGCCGGAAGGCACCACTGGACATCATCTAATCCACCCCCTCCTCCTCAGAGCAGGGTCAACTACAGCAGATTGCTCAGGGCCATGTCCAGTTGAGTTTCCAAAGATGGAGACCCCTCAGCCTCTCTGGGCCTCCTGTTCCCACTTCTTGTTGTTATGTAAACAATGCTCTAAATGATGCATTTGCCAACAAAGCTCTAAATCACAGCAGAACAGTTTCTCACTAAATAAACACTGATGGAAAACAAGTCATGGCAGATTTTATAGGAATCTGTCTCTGAGTTTAGCTTTGAGTTCAGCAGATAGAAAGAGAAGTAAGGCCTGTGCCATGTTCAAATGGGAAATCGCAGAAGGAAGCCCCATGGAGAGGACTGGGAGAAGCCGTACGCTCTAGTGGAATGAGCAAGTCCAGAAATCCTGCACCTTTAACTCTAGATGTACCAATACTTTGTCACATTGCTTTTAAAATGAGGGGAAGCAACACCCATGTTACCGGAGGACTATAAAAGTTAGGCATTATCTTTCTACCCACATAGCATTGCGTAAAACACAGTGGCCTGTCCCCACAGCTGTAAGTCTGTCCAATTTATCGCTACGACAGTCATTTGGCACCCCACATGGAATAATGTGATACCCATTTATAGCTGGGTTGACAGTGGTTGTCCTTCACCACAGGTCAAACCTATGCCTTTGGATCTCACTTGTCTGTGACGCTGGGACAAATAGTAAATGTACTTGATGAATGATAAATGCAACTTTATTAATGCTGCAGGAAGTGTGAGAGCAGCCCTACAGCTGCTGCTTCTTTCTAATTTGAAAACATCAACCTATCAGGCAAGGCACTGGCAAAGATGCAGTCTTTTTTGAGATCTAAAATGGATGTTCTTGCTGTGATGGTCGTTAAGGACCTTTAAAGTAGGAAAAATGTAGGAAGGTTTAGATAGCCCTGGAGTTTGTGCAAAATTCAAAGCCAGATAATAATATACATAAGAATTTCAGCTAGTGAAATGCCACTCTATTCTATTATGTCATTTTTTTATGCCTGCTGACAAGAACTTTAATGGAGATCAAAGCATTTTCAGTAGAAATAGAAAGATCTTTTCTGAGATTGTATTTATATTTATTTACAGCTTGTATGTCATCTTAAAGCTACCCTCTCCTGGAAGAAAGTCTACTAAAATTATTGGAAAATAGTAATTTTTGCTTGAATTCTGCAGAAAGACTTGATTTCATTTTTTGATTACTGTTTGTTCATGTACACAGCAGACACAATATCGCTGTACTTCCTTTTGATTCTGTCATCCTGCTCTAATGACTGATTTGGGAAGGTACAAATATCTATTAAAAAAAAAAATCCTTAGCTCCAAATAATTGTCTTCACAACAAGAAATAAAAAGGGTTGGTTGTGGTGTCCACAAAGACACATGACACCAGTGCTTTTGCAGCACAAATTGTATGTGGGTGTGGAAAGGTGCCCATTTTTTAAACATGCTAAGATGCAGAATGCCTCGCTGGGAAGAGGTGCTGATGAGTGCTGGCTGCTTTGTCCTTCACTCCAAAAATAAGGGCAAAGTGAAGCTATGCCATGAATTTCAAAGGAGCCAAGCTATTGCCCCAGAGTTCCTTCCCTGATCTGGGACACCCCCCCACTCCTTTAAAAGCAACAACAAAACCTACATAACTTGTATTTTTTTTTTAAACCTCACAGTCTTGCACCTCCACTAGCTTCTCCTGCAAGCTATCTGGCTCAGCAG